GCTCAGGCATTGGAATGTGCTGCCCACATTAAACCCCACCATTCTTGCTAAAGAGAGACTTGAAATGTTCCAGCAACTTCCATGACATTCCTTACTAAAGACTGTGTGTGCAGGTGTTTGTGAGATGGAGGCTGGAGTGAAAAAACCCCACACAACATACCAACAAAAAAAGCCAAGTCATTTTTTCCAATTTCAAGTGTCACATAATAAGTGCTGCTGAAACCTCAGTGCTGCTCAGTGTCTGCAGGATGCTCAGGCTAAAAAAATCAAAGCCCAAGCACAGCCTGTGCTCCAGCTGCCATGTTCCCCCGGAGCAATGAGTGTGCACCAGGGAGGGAGGAGCACAAGGCACACAGTCTCCTCCAGCCATCCCATCCTTTGGCAGCATCTGCAATGATTCCATGTGAGCTCACAGAGGTGGTTTTGCTGTCACTGGTACAGGTACATGAGTGTCACAGTGGTGTGGCCACACCAGAAGCAGCACCAAGGAGTGACTCCTGCATGTCCCATTCCTTCAGACAGCGTTGGCAGAAATCCATTAAATGAGGCAGAGCCACAGATTCAGGATCTGGCTGTGTTTATGTACTTCTTACCTGGACTCCTTCTGAGTGATGGCAAGGAAGATTTCCCACGAACTCTCTTCAGGGATAGCTCCATGTGGGATCAGCAAACTGACTCCTGCAAAAGAGCAGGGGCAGAGCTCACCCTTGGGAAAAGTAGAGGACATAAAGAACAGTGCATACCTGGATGGACAAAACCTGGAATGGCCAAGCTCCCCCAAAACAGCTTCTCACTGTGGTGTCAGCAGATGAGAGGCAAATATATTGTTCAAGGAAATAAAGACATTATTTTTCCCTTAAAGGAAAATAAATCTTATTTTCCTAAAAGCCTCTTGAATGCTCTTTGCCCCTTTCCAACTTTGAAATCAGATCTGACAGTTCTAGGATCACAAGGAATCTCCTGCTGGAGGGAGCACACCCAGCCAAGCTGAATCTGCATGGCAATCACTTTTTTTGTTCACAGTGGTGAATCCGAGTGATACCATTCTCCTTTAACTCCACCAGGATAAATCAGAAGTTAACAAGGAAGCTTTCCACTAGGTGCCACTGAAATGAAGCTGCTGCACTGCATTCTCCAGGGAGGAAGGATGTGTTTTACTTTGCATACGTTAGGCAATGCAGTCAGGCAGTGACCTGATCACACTATAATTTACAGTTGGTTAGCAGAGATGATCTTACATAAAGGCTGAAAGAATTACATAAATTGCAAGTGGACCAAATACATATTTAAATAATCTAATTGATGGGACTATCATTATATAAAGTAGCTAAATATACAGTACGAGGGAATTCTTAATTTGTGCCTTAACTGACTTGGTGCCTTTGTCTCTGCAATGTTTAGTCCTGAATGTGTAAAAAAAAGCTGTGAAGAAATGAAAACTCTCCACGTGTTGTGCATGACTGTGCACTGACAGTGCAGCCCTGAATTACACATTGTTCTCAGCCTTCTCTAAACACACACCACTCTTGTGATGGTAACCTTTAAAATGCCCATTTCATGAAACAAAGGATGAAGATCTAAATCACTCAGTTCAACTAGACAGCGAGAGCCAAGCCTGGAGACATTGGTCAGATGGAAACTAAGTTGAATTGAAAGTGGATAAAGATCACCAGAGTTTGGAAGATGATAACCTCTTAGCCAGCAATGAGTGTATTTGCCTTTGTCTGCCACATTTGCCTTTTGACAAAGAAAATATCCAACATCAGGCCTGATATTCAAAGTGACACGGACACAGCGACGCGGGACAACATACTGCAGGGCTCAGCAGCCTGGATCTGATTCTGCTTTGGTGCTCTACATCTTCAGCTGGTTTAACAAACAATTTTGTCAACCTCAAATACATCTCTCAAAACTCTGAAGTCACAAAACAAACTCTCCTCCTTAAACAATGCAGATGGAGCCTCTCAGCACACAGCCCAACCTCGGGCAGCGAGCTGACTTTGAAGTGCCTACTGTGGAAATCCAGGGAGCTACTTGCTGAAAGGGAGAGGAAAGCAGGAGGAACTGCTCCTGAGAGCTGCACCAGGGCTCTGGGGGAGCCAGGGCTGTTCTCCAGGGACAGCTGCTCATTGTCCCAGGCACACACGACGTGTGACGATGCTCAGAGCTTGGAATGTGACTCCATTATATAAGATGCCGATGTGATATCGACCTCCTTCCAGGGAGCCCTTCCTTTGGATCAGGATCCAAGTAAGCAACAGCTTTGATTAATATGACTTTCATGCTGAAGACATCAAGAGAGGCAGTAATTTAAAACAGTTCAGATAGGCATAATGCCTCTTTAGTCCTCATCCCAGGCTTTCTTCTGATCACTCATCTCCTGTGTGGGCAACATGCCCTACTTCCCAAAATTTGCATTAAGGGAGCCCCTACTTTCTCTTTCCTTGCCTTTTTGTGATTTAGTTATAAAACACTACATCAGGCAAACTAATCTCAAATTCTTTTATCTGCTCTTGATGAGAAAGGATCCACCCACCTGTGTTTGGAACCACCAAACGGCCACCCAGGTGGCCAAAAACAGCAGTTGTCTTCAGCTCGCTCGTCGTCGAGATAGAAGACAAGTTCTGGATGTACATGGCCTTGTTTCTAGCCTGTATTGTACCAAAAGCTCTGTGATTCCCGTGAGGGAAAGTTCCAGAATGTGCCTTTCCATGATACTCAGCTCTCTCTGTCACCCCGAGGGACACCATGAAGGAGCTCTGGACCTTGACTTTGATGTCTGAGAGTGGGTTGAACAGGGATGACTCTGTCATTAGCTCCTTGTCCATGGGGTCCTGCAGGCAGATGGGGCCACTGTAGGTCCTGCTCACTGTCAGGTCAGGCTGCATGGAGGAGTTCAGGAGCAGGGAATTACCTGCAGGAACGAGGCAGAGCAAAGAGTTAGTTACTGTGTGGAGATGTTACCTCAGGAATCCCTTTCTGACCTCTCCCCATTTCCTTTGTGACTTCCTCATACTCAGAATTGCATCAGGCAATGTTAAAGAACAGATGAAATGATGCAAGAGATCTAACATCACTGTGTTTTCCACACTTCAGGCAGCTCCAGAGTGCAGGAATCCAAGAAGGAACTTCCTTTGGTTTAGGATTCAAGTTTGTGTATTTGTCTTTTCTCTTTCTTGTGGTTCTCCTTATGTTAAACCCCTTTGGGTGAAACCAGAGCTTCCTGTAGCTCTTCTCTGTGAGCTCACACAAAACCATTGCTTCATGCCTGAGGGGAACTGGGCTGAAAACGAAGTGGGACTAGTAATATAGGGGAAAACACCACAATTATTCATTTAGGGGCATTTTAGCACAAAAAACACTCTAAAAAGAGAAGGAATGATGGACTTAGGGCATGAATCCTTTAGGTGGATTGGGCTTTTTGTGTTTGCCTTTGTGGTGAGTTTTGTGTTTGGTTCGTTGGTTACTTTTTGCAAATCAAAGTTGTCCAAAGTAACTAATTTTCTGGAAATTATCTGTGCTGCCTCCTTGAAAACTTGATCAATTTGAAGGGCTGCAGGGTGGTTTGCCAGCATTATCAATGCATTACTTCAAAGAATGAGAACAGATCACACTGCTCTGTTGTCTGTGGGTCAGGATTGTGCTCTGTTTTCTCAGCAAACTGAACAGAGAATTGGCCTTTTTGCTACTGAATTGTTCAGTTTACAAATGCTCTTACTTATAAACCCACAGACACAGAAACCAAAGTTACTGAAACTGAACTAATAAGTTAAGAAATTGGTGTGCTCAGGTATTTTCAGAGCATTCAGAACTAATGGTTATAAACGTTAGGTCAAACTAATAATTCTCCAGTATCCACATGAGATTCAACAGCAAACTGAACCACAGAGGAGAAAGTTATGTGTGAGACAGTCAGTGAGAATTACAGGACTCTAATTAAAGGTTTGGATTTATAAATGAATGAGCAAAGCTCCTTCAAACGTCCTTGTCTGCACAGCCCTGCTCCCAATCCCTGCAGCGCATGCCTGGGGAGGGATGTCTCCCTGGAAATGAAGAAACTGTGAAAACAACCGCACAAACAACCTCCAACAAACTCTGCGACTCATTTCCCTTTTCTGAGGAGAGAACAGAGACATGGGGAGGATTTCACACCCACCAACACACACACCCACCCACAATCAGGCAGGTCTCGGTGCTGGAATGGCAGTACAGGACCAAGGAAACCTTCTGTGTTCATCACCACTTCTATCCCTCCCCATCTTTCTGTCCAAAGGAAATAATATTCCAGAAAACACGACTGATGCCTTTAGGAAATGTTTTGCCCAGGTTTTATGGCACTGGTGGTTTTTCTAGAGTTTTAGGAGGTTTTTTTTAATCAATGCATTTTTACACACATTTATTTCCCACAGACCTCAGTGTGGATGTTTGCATGTTCCAGCAGCCTGCAAAGCACTTACAGTTGGGTTCTTAAATTAACAGGAGAAAACTAATCACTTCTATTGGAGTAAAGAGAGGTCTGTAACTGAATAGGAAGGAACTACAGATGTGCTGCCTGGGTTTGCTTTGCTTTGGGCTTTTCCTAAGCCACAAACCTCAGTGAAGAAGCTGGGGACAGTATTTCTAAAGCATTTTGAGCAAGGTCAAGAAAGATTATGTGTTTGTCCAAGCTGCCATGAGAGATCAGTAACAGAGACAGTTCTAACCACCAGGTCCTGGTCCCTGCAGCTGCTCTGCCCTGGCTTTCACATCTGCCCAACCAGAACACCCTCCCCCCAGCCTCACTGAGCCTTAAGCCTCTCTGTGCAAGTAGGAGCTCTGTGGAGAAAAAAAAATAAAAATGAAATGAAATCACAACACTAACCTTGTCTGACTGTTTTAAAATTAAATGTCTGGAAGCCTCCAGTGAGTGCAGAGGAATCAATGACATCCACGCCGTACTCACTCTGACTGCGTCTGTACAGGGTCACGCCGACCACCAGCACGGCCACAGCAATGACTGCTGCTCCCAGGCCAGAGTACAGGGCAATGTCACTGGCAGTCTCGATATCTGCAAGGACAAGGAGTGGGCACTGAGTCAGCAACACCCTCAGACACATCCGAGGTCGGAGCAGAGCGGAGTACACGGAGTAAAGCTCGAGACATCACTGTGGAGCAGGTCACAGAGCTCAGGGCAGAGCAAACAGCTCTGAAGAGCAAGCACCTGAGAGCAAATTTCACTCCATACAGGTGAGCTTACTCGGGTGCAGGGATGGCATCATGAGTTTTACAGGATGAAGTGGGAGAATTGGACTCCTAACAGCAGCAGTTGCCTTCCTGTTCCAGCCCAGTGGAGATCATTAAGGTATGGAAATGAACCCTCAAAGGGAGCACATAGAACTGCAGCCAGGGCTGCTTTAGGTGTCAGCAGGAGTTTCTTCTATTGCTACCTTCCAGGGTCATGGAAGTTTTAGGTTTCTGTTCTGGAGCTAATCCAGGAGGTCATGAATCCTCTGAGAAATCTGAGTGAAGAGTTCCCCTTCCTCCTTCTTCATGTGCTGTGTGAGCCTTAGTATAAGAAGGAACACTCTATCCTCTCCAGCTCAGAGCAGGGCTGAGGAGATCCCTGCGAGCACCTTCAGTCTTTACAAACAGGCTGGAAACTGAACCTTCCCCCTGATTGCACCAGGCAGCAACTGCCAACCAAGTTTTCTCCAACTTCCAACTTTTATGGCAGAGAAAAAGAATTCATCGCTTTGACAGAATGAATCCAAATGAAGCCTGCAATATTCCATAATTGAAATATCCAGTCCTGCTATTCTAGATCTTCTGGGATTTGGGACCATGTACCGTGAAATTAAATTACTTGGCAAGTGCCCTTAGTGGGTCCTGAGACAGTTCCCTTAATGCCCAACCTCAGTTTGGGGGGAGAGTCAGGAGTTCACCCTGTACATCAGCTGTTGTCCTGCTGCAGGGTCTGCTGCTGCCATGGGGTCACTGGGCACAGGGACTGCACTCATCAGAGTGAGGGACAGTGACACAGAGTAACTGAGACATCCAGGCTGCTCACACCAGGGGCTGAGCTGCACCGCACACAAACAGGGTGGAAAGTTAAATTCAGCATTTAATAAATGGCCAATTACTGAAATGGCTTAATTACTGCTTGGGAGGAGAGTTCTGTGGTGTCTCTGCTTTTCTGCAGGAAGTCAGAGAATTCTGTTTGAGCTGAATTTGTGAAATGAATGTGAAACTTCAGCCCGGGGAGATGAAAGGGGGGAGCACCTCTGGGCAGCATTTCCTGGGCTCACCAATTGCTTACACGAAGTGTCAGACAACTGGCAACACCCTGAATGTCCTGAGAAGGGGCAGGTGCTGCTAGAGGCAATGGCTGAGCACCAAAGGTTCCTTCACATGAGTGAAAGGCCCCAGGAGTGGTAGCACCAGCAAACCCAGTCCATAAGCACTGCCCCAAGTACCTGGAGCAGTGGGAGCTGTGAGTGAGGCAATGGGGCTGAAGCTTTAGTTCAATCAAAAGGAAAACAAACTGTTTGGTTCAAACATCCTTAATAGAAAACACCCTTCTCACCTGCATTCTCCAACTGGTCCCAGCCAAGCCCAAATACAAGATTTGTATTTGGCCATCCCAATGCCATGCAGAGCTCCAGGCTGGGGACAGAGTGGCTGGAGAGCACCAGGAGAAAGGGACCTGGGAGTGTGGAGAGACAGGAGCTGACCAGGAGCCAGCAGTGTGCTCAGGGGGCCAAGAAGGCCAATGGCAAGAGATTTTTTCCAGAGAGAGTGCTCAGGCATTGGAATGTGCTGCCCAGGGAGGTGGTGGATTCCCCATCCCTGGAGGTTTTCAAGCTGAGACTGGATGTGGCACTTAGTGCCATGGGCTAGTGACCACGGTAGGGTTGGACTTGATGATCTTAGAGGTCTTTTCCAGCCCAGCTGATTGATTCTATGATTCCAACATCCCCTTCAGCCCAAAATCAATACCCATGACAAAGTTAAGACAAACCCAGAGGGTCACAAAGACAAACTGGAAATAGCTCAGCTAAAGCAAACCAACCCAAATCCTGATCCAGTGCCTCCATCCCACGCTGCTTTATGTCTGCTTTATTCTCTAGCATCAGGTGCAGAAAGAGAAATACAGAAACAAATTACATTTCTATTTCTTCTAATTTTCCATTCCAAAGCTATTTTGTTGTTACAGGGAATTAATTATGAAACTCTATTGTAGAGTTAATTTTTGTGGGTAATTAGTACAATGAATAAGCCAAGAGGAGGAATGTGATGGATCTCCAGTGGTAGGAGGAACCCAACAGCAAGTGGGTTCTTTTGCTTTCCAGAGAGCCACAGTGAGCTGATGGTTATTGCACCATAAAGCATCTTTAAGTCTTTCATTTTGTTCATTACTTTAAAACAGAAAAGTGCTGGAAATTTGAATTACCTCTTCTACCTTCTTGGGATGATAAATTATCAAGTCTGAAACACACAGAAATAACCTGCCAGGGAAAACTTAGTGCCATCATCAACAGCAATGAGTAGGAAATATCAGAGTTGATCTCCTGCCATCAAAACCAGAACATTAAACACACCTCAGGTTCTCACCTGTGAGTAACTGCAATTAATTACTCTAAAGCTACTGGAGTAGTTCAGCTGCTTCTTCCCAATCAACTCCAGTGTCAGATGATTTCAGTTTCACACTTCTCTCACACCCCAAGAGTGTTGTACATGGGTTAAAGATGAGAGTGAGAACACAGAACTCAAACAAACAAGTTGGACTCAAGCAAAATTCTTCTGAGGAGAATTTCCTTTTCAGTGAATACTTTAGAGCATCCCCAAGAACTTGAATTTGACACTGTCCTAGAAATGATAAGATTAAAAACCTCTTACAGTTCTTCCTTCTGAGTTCCCTTCTCTTTTATAAAATGATCCCTGTTCCATTTCATGGAACACCTGGAAGAGTTGCTCAGCTGTTGTTCCATTGCCAGGGAAAAACCCAACCACAAATGCAAAGCACACACAGAGTTCAGAGGCAAAGGATCCCCTTAGCAGGATTGAGTAGATCTTTAAATAGCTCCATGTTAAAAGAGCAAACCAAGAGTGACATGGTATTTATCCCTTGAATTATTCCCAGGGAACACAACCCCATAAGGAAGGAAACTTTCTCTTTGATTTAGGATGTTAGTATTTCTTTAGAAACAAATACTGGATTTTTAAGTCATTTTCATCTCTGCACCTTTCTATCTTCTCTTACAGAGAATTCCCATCATGGGAGACAGGAAATTAAAGGGCCAAGGCAAGCCTGGGAAATTTGGGGAGTGGGGGAAGGTTCTGCTTTTATTTTTTTCCCAGAAGGGAATAAAATGAAAAACAAACAAACTAGAAAAGAAAACATTTATAGTCAAGCAATTACTGTGTAATGAGCTGCATCCTCCCAGCCCAGAAGCAAAAGGGACCCTGGCAAGGCACTATGATTTTTATCCATTTCGGTGCCAGGATCCATGTTTGTGGTAATTGCAGCCTATTTTTCACTCCACCTCCTGACACTGTTACACAACATTTATTGAAAGCACATTTGATGGTAATGAAGTTTCTATTAACTATGATTAAGTTTCATAAAGCACCTGAAGATAATTTAAGATGTGCAGGAGCAGAAAATGAAACATTTGGTTTAGTACATTAGGAAATGTAATTGATTAAATTATCTCATTTACAATAAGTGCTTTCCTGGAGCTGTGCAGGGCACACACTTCCCCCCATCCACCACTGGAGTTTGCCAGGAGCTCTGGAGGGTTCTCCCAGCTTGCCATGCTCCCCCTGCTCCCCTCTTCTCCCTGCTCTCCCTCGGGGTGCCCGGGGCAGCCTGAGGTCTGTTCCCTCACATCACCAGTCTGCCAGCACAAGGATCAAAAGTCAGAGACTCCTCTAAGAGGTTATTTAGTAGAACAGGTTGTTTCTCAATTATCTTCATAATTGGCTTTGATTTTGCATCACTGATGAGTCCTGCAGCCCTGAACCAAGTTCTGTTCTGCTGAACAGCAATGAGCTGTGCTTTGTGCCTCTAACCCACCACTGTAACACAGCCCTGTAATTCTCCAGGTACTTCATAGGCTAAAATCAATTCCCTTCAAGTTGCTTTTAGGGTAAATCAGAAAATCAAGAGATTTCACTGATATTCTTTCAATATTCTCTATTAAATGGGAATGCACAGACAAACACAAGAGTATCCATTGCCTGAGCTGAGCTGTGGCACACACTGACTGCACAGGACCAATGTGGGGACAACTCCAGGGACACACAGGCAAGTCAACATTAGAAATGCTTGAGCAGCCAAGGCAAGCACAGCATGTTTTGGAGCTCCCTCACTTTGATTTTGGGTATCCTTAGGCATAATCCACGACTGGGAATGTAGAAACCAAAGAAACAAAGGTTGGAAAAGCTCTTTAAATTCACAAAGTCCAACCATCAACCAGCACCACCATCACGGTCACCACCAAACCATGTCCTCAAGTGCCACGTCCACACATTCTGAACACCTCCAGCACTGCCCTGGGCAGTCTGTGCCAGGGATTTCCAACCCTTCCCATGAAGAACTTTGCCCTAAGACCCAACCTGACCCTCCCCTGGCACAGCCTGGGGCTGTTCCCTCTCGTTCTGTCCCTTGTTCCCTGGGAGCAGAGCCCAAACCCAGCTGGCTGCAGCTCCTGCCAGGGAGTTTAGAGAGTGATGGAGAGCAGGACAAGCCTCCAAAGCAGAGCACAGAGCACAGAAACAACTTAACCAGGTGAGAAACGAAGGCCTGAGTGAGCTGAACAAGGTCAGAGCCAGCAGTGCGACCAGATTTGAACCAAGAAAACCAAACTCCTGTATCAATTCCTTTTTTTTCCTCATTACAAGTGCTCAAGAGGTCAGTTCCAGACAGGTTTGCCTGGAGACAGGCACAAACTGCTAAGGAGTGATCACTTTCTGGTGTTAGACTAAACCCTATGATCACAAAGGTGCTCAGAAGATGATTTCAGCAGATGTTAAAGCCTTTCATAAAACCTTCTGTTGTACTTAGCTCCTGAACAAATAAACCAAATGGCAAAGAAGATGAGAAAAATCATATTTACAAGAGAAAAAAAATAACTTACTTTGGGATTTTATTTCATGAAGAGGTTTTTTATCTGAGAGAGAGAGAGAGAAAGAGAGAGAGAGAGAAAGTTGCACTTAATAAATTTACATGGAGCATATCTATTTCCTATATTGCTTCTGTCTCACTCTATAAATGAAACATTTTCTCCTCGTTTGCTGACAATATGAATATTTTATGTTGTCCATATTTTTCTCTTCATCTTATTTTTTTTTCTAAATCCCTTTCAGGATGTTTCTTTGTAGTAATTTCTCACTTGGTTAATTCAAGCATTTGTTAGCTCTATTGGATGCTGTTATTTAGATATTACACGTCTCAGCAAGGCCATTCAGCCCTGGGCACTGGAGCACTTGGCAAAGAAAGGCAGCTTAGAATTAATGACTTCTCTGTGTGCTTGCTGTATGGAAAGGTCAGTGATGGACTCAAAAGGCATCTATAAAATGTAAAAATGTACAGTACATCCACATTTAGGTCCCTAAACACACGAAAAATGACACCTGTCTGTGTAAATATGAACGTACAGAATTGATGTCCCACCAAACATATGCAAATGTAGGATAAAATGGGGTTTATGTAGTATTGCTGCTCTCAAAGATGAGGCTTCTCTGCCTCCTTCATCATGAGCACTTGAGTTATCCTTTATCACCTAAACCTGACAAATAATCCCTAGAAAATGGGAGACTCAGGCAAATGGATTAGGAGGCACCTTTCTATTGCTTTTACTGCTCGTGGAAATGATCAGTTTAGGAATACTTAACCCAAAAGATTGTTGGAATTTAGCTTTGCCAAAAACCTAGCTATGTTTCTTTTTCCTCCTCGAGGTTGTTTTTGTTTTTGCTAGGAAATTAAGTACAAAAAAAAAAACCCCACCAAATGAGCAGTGTCAGCCTTGAGCTTTGCAATGGAACAAACCCTTCCCTGCTGCTGACACTGTGCTGTCTGCAGGAACTGCAGTGCAATGGGAAGGCATTTCCCATCTGAACTGGGAGATTCAGGATGCAGGAGCCTCCTGGCAATATTCAGCATCGTGGCTGGTTGAGAAATGGAAAACAAAATGATTTGTGATTTATGATGCATTAGCAAAACCATGTTTGTAGTTCTGCTGCCTATGGATGACTTGTTTGTTTCTTTTTTTGGGGCACTGGGAGAAGAAATCAATAGGGTTTGAAGTTAGAAAAATAACTTTAAAGCAAATAGATAAAAGGAAAACAAAAAAACTCTCTCTCAAAAAAAAAAATTCTCTCTTTTATTAAGCAAAGAAAAAGCTTTCACCTCTGCAAGAGAGAGAGAGAAATCCACCATGGAAAAGTATACTACTGGGAATACTGGTAGGGAATAAACACTGAAAGAACAAACAGGCAAGAGACTAGTGAGTGACTGGGACTATCTGGAGCCAAAGTGACCTTTGTGTTCTGAGTCTCTGTTTCCCTCCCAGCCTGGCAAACTCTGAGTATCAAACCCCAGACAGTTCTTCCTTCTGCAGCTAAGTTTCTATCTAGTCAATTGGTGCAAGTCCTGAAAGAAAAGCACTTTCAGCTGCTCCTCAGTTAAGGACTAGGTAGTCTGGATCCACCCAGAAAATCCCAGACCAAAAGGAGGACAGGGATGTTCCTGTGGGTGCCAGTGTTGTCTCTGGGCTATTCCCAACCTCTCTAGCAGGGACTGAATAAAGAACCTTAGAGTTGACCCTGTTCTATCACCAATTCTCTTACTGACTCCAAGTTTGGCCATTCATGCTAAGGCTCAGAACTTTCTGTGCCAGCTCAGGCCAATGCTTCCCTGGCATCCTCCATTCCCATCCTCACTTCCATTTCAGTTCTTGTTTGTTATCCAAAGAAGTGTTTCATTTCTATTTTTGCCTCACGAAAGGAACAAAGTTAACAAGTTGTGGCTGATAAATAACCTCCAAGAGATTAGTTTTCTGTAGCACAGTGCTGCATTTCCTCCACAATTCCCCATGGGATGAAAGCAGAGCAGGAAAGGCACATATTGGAAGATGAACAGGGGAAAAAAAAGGATTTTAAAAAATAGGGTAATTGCATCAGTTCCTATTAGCTGAGAAAGCAATTACAGCCCTAAAAATAATTTGACACAAGTCTATACCTACGGCACGACCCATAAAGGAGAAATGGGATCACACTCGGAGATGAAAGAAACAGGAGACAACACTCCAGCCCAGCTGAATCCACAGGAGAACATCTGGAGCAGAGACTGGAGGTGTTGGATGGGGCTTGGAGCAACCTGGCCTAGTGAAATGTGACCCTGCCCACGGCAGGGGTGGGATGAGATGAGCTTTAAGGTCCTTCCAACCCAAACCATGCCAAGATTCTTTGATTCCATGAGACACTGTCCCTGGTACTGCCTGGCTCAGGAAAAGGATAAACAAGCTTGTCTGAGACCCAAAGACCACGTAGGGCAGAGCTGATCCCCTCAGTGCTGGAGCTCAGGGCTTTGTGGCACTGGGTGCAGCTCCTCTCCTACAGCCCAGCTTGGCCAGGGCAGTGCCCAGCTGAGGTACCTGGCAACACTCAGCTCCAGTTGACACTGCAGTAGTTTTGCTTTCCCCACAAAGTCCCTGGAGCTCAGTTTCTGATCCCAGTATTGGCTGAGAACTCGCTGGTGTGTGCAGCAAACCCCATTAGGATTCCATTCTGACTGGCCTGGGATGTTGCTTTGCATCTGTTTCCTTTTTTTTTTTTTTTTTAATAACCCAAAGGTTATTTCTGAGCAGGAGGTTGAACTGGCAACTGGCTCCTTACAGCCTGAAGGGTTTTGCTTTCAGCTCCTGGGGATGTTTCTCTGCAGGACTTTTCCAAAGGCACCTGCTTCATTTTCCACAGCCAAAATGTTGATCTGCAAAAAGCCAACCCTGCTGTGTCTCATACCCCTGTGAGACAAACAGAGCTGCTTGGACCAGTGACATCCTCACCTCTTTCTCCTTCTGCTGAAGGAAAGCACATGACCTTCTCCCTCCAGCTGCAGGAGATGCTGCCTATCCACCCCAGAGCTCAGCACTAGTACCTGCCCTGGGGGAAGCTGCTCATTAGGGGAACACAGTCACAGAACACTGAATGGATGCACCAACACGTACAGAGTCCCCTCCTGGGGATTTTACAAAGCAGCTTTTATCTCTCCTCCTATAAAAACCAGCCTTGCTTTGGGGAGCACAGACACAACTTAACAAAAATAATTAAAAATAAAATAATTGAATGTTGTACTGGTCCCACGTGTGTGAACAGAGCTCCAAACACACAGACCCTCTCCCTCTCAGCTCATCTGACCAGTGTGTGGAACCTTTGATCATAAAAAAGCCTTGAGAGGGCTTTATCCTGGAATAGCTCCTGGGAATGCACTCCTGGAACCAGCAGTAGATCCCACAGTGGTCCTTGAAAGACAGGAGCAAGCACAGCACCAGCCTGTCACACCTCTGTTATTCTGAGAAGGACCACACTGACACTAAAGTGATCATTCACAGCTCCACAGAGCCTGGCAGGGACATCCCAGACCTGCCTGCAGACAGAGCCTGGATGAACTCCTCAGGGACATTAACAGCTGGAGAAGCCAACGACAACAGCCCATGGGACACAGGATCTTGTTGACTCAACAGTGCTCAGAGGCCCAATCTGTACCTGAAACCACCTGTGCTACAAGGACTTGAGGAGTTTCAACCATCTGCCCCATGGAACGAAACCATCACCATCAGGTCAGAAGAGTGTCATGGCTCTCAATAACCACAACACCATCAGGTCAGAAGAGTGTCATGGCCCTCAGTGCCCAATAACCACAGCTCCTCCCCAGGCCATGTGCTCCTCCCAGACTGGCAGAATAAGCACAGTGCTGGACTTGTCCCTCTAAAGCATGAGGAGATGACACACAGGCCTGACACAGAACTCCACCAGGTGAAAGGATGTTCTGGAGGCAGGACAGGGAACCTTTACTACCTTGCAGTGTGGCTTGTCCTGGAAGCTGTGACCTTGCATTAACTGGTGAAACCACAGAAGGAGCCATCAGGTGGCAAGTCACCTCCTGCCTGTCACCACTGGTGATCGGTGTGCAGACCTCAGCTGTGTCTTTTCATGCCCCTCTCAGCACAGCCCTCCCATGGATCTGCTAATCTGCACACATGACTGGATTTATCCAGCCATCTGCAGGGACAGGCACCAAGGTACAGGAAGGAGAGAGACCTCAGACTACATCGTGGGATCACCACATCTGTCCCCAGAAGCTGAATGCATGGCAGTGCTCCCAAACCCTCACTAGCTATTCCTTTTCAAAACATGGGGAAGGAAAAAGTTCCAAATTTCGTTTATGTCCTTTTAAGCACTGAAGCTCCTCTGCCTGACACCTTGGGGCTGGAGAGATGATCTGTAGTCCTGGAAAGTTTAAGTAGTGAGACATACAGCAAAGAGTGCTGAGTGTTCCCTCCCACCAAAACCTGATTTAATGCCTCCACTGAGGCACATGCATCTCTGAAGCCTGAATAAATATACAGGTTGCTCTGCTGTCGAGAAAGTATTAAAATCTCAGGGCAAAAAACGAGTTCATTTTGTTTAGAAAAGGAAGGGTAAATGCAGCTCCATAGGAACAGACAGAGGACTAGTTAAACATAAAATGAAAGCAAACAGTCTTATTCCCATTCCCATCTTTCAGCCCTGGCACTGCTGATTGCTCCCAGGGCTGCTGTTTCACCTGAGGAGGTGTCAGGGGCTGTGCAGGGAGGGAGGAGCAGCTCAGGGCAGGAGTGAACTGGATTCTCTCCCCAGCCAAGCTGCAGCTGCAGGGCTCCTTTCCTTGGCTCCCACTTGTTTGTTGAGAGTAGCAGCTACCAAGTGCCAGATGCTTTCCAGACATTGATGAAGGGCAAATCCTTTCGCAGCTTTGCCTTTATTTAACTTGTCTGTTAGAGGCAACAAATCGAGTAAACTCCGACCTTGAGCAGCTCCTGCAGCAGGAGTGCTCGTGTTGGTGCTTTGCCCGTTTCCTTGTGAGGAAAGGCAGAAGGCTGAGGAGCACATTCTGTGAAACAGGTTGTGGTGGTCATAGTTAGACATGGCAAGCCCTCTGCATTTGGATTCTTAGAATCATCTGAGAATTCATAGGCAAAGGATGCGCTACACAAATCAGTGACTCGGAAACTGTGGTGGATTTCAAACTCCACACGCACAACCCTCTGGAAACAATCTCTCTTTTCACAGTATGGGGTCAGACATGAGTTCTGCTGACACAGGTGAGTGGCAGGTGTGCCACATTCCCCAGATTACAGCCCCCCCTTCTAGGCCATACCTCCTCATCCCACCCAGCACCAACTCACCTTGAATGCAAAGCCCTTCCGTGCAGTTCTCCGACTCCTGGCTCAAGCCCTCGCAGTACTTCCCTCCGTTCCTGGGAGGTGGTGCAATGCACTCCCGAACCCTCAGGTGCTCACACTCTGGGCTGCACACTGACCACTCACTCCACACCTCCCAGCTGCCATCCACTGAGGGGGAGAAGAAAACCCACCATCAGCAGAGCACATCACACAGGTGTAGTCACGAGCCCCCATCAGGAACACTTGTTTCAGACCTGTCCTCCATAACTCTGAAGTTAACATAATTGCAAGCAAACTTTTGCAAGCTAAATTATAGATTGTGAGGTACTCAGCTTAGGTTTCTGTGTTTCATTTTCTGGAATTGTTACTATCATAGAATCATAGAATCAAGCTGATTGGAAGAGGCCTCCAAGATCATCGAGTCCAACCCTACTGTGGTCACCAGACCATGGCACTAAGTGCCACATCCAGTCTCATCCTAAAAACCTCCAGGGATGGTGAATCTACCACCTCCCTGGGCAGCACATTCCAATGCCTGAGCACTCTCTCTGGAAAAAATCTCTTCCTAAGATCCAACCTAACCCTCCCCTGGCAGAGCTTGAGTCTGTGCCCTCTTGTCCTGCTGCTGGTTGCCTGGGAGAAGAGACCAACCCCCACCTGACTCCAACCTCCTGTCAGGGAGTTGCAGAGGGTGATGAGGTCTCCCCTGAGCCTCCTCTTCTCCAGGCTGAACACCCCCAGCTCCCTCAGCCTCTCCTCATGCCACTTGTGCTCCAGTCCCTTCACCAGCCTCGTTGCTCTTCTCTGGACCTGCTCCAGCCCCTCAATGTCCCTCCTGAGCTGAGGGGCCCAGAGCTGAGCACAGGATTCAAGGTGTGGCCTCACCAGCACCGAGTCCAGGGGCAGAATCACCTCCCTGTTCCTGCTGCCCACACTGTCCCTGACACTATCACCTTCCCTTTCCCAGCCCTCCATGATTTCTCCCACTGAGCCAGCTGATGCTCTGTTATTGAGTTTTTCGTTAGCATCAGTGTGAGTTACAGCACTGACACACTTGGCAGCTCAGGCCATCGGTGTCTTCCTGCTGCTCAGACCCTACACCAGGCTCTCAGCCTAGACAAGGATGTGAGCGTGGCGTATGTCCTTTCTAACCCCAGTGGGCTCTTCAAAGCCCAAGTGCCTTCCTGGCACTTCACCCTGAATGTTCTCCATCCAAAGCCATTCCTCAGGCTGTGGTAACTCACCAGGGCAGAGAGAGGTGCAGGTGATTTTCTGCACAGACATCCCCTCACAGAAGGCTCCTCCGTTGAGCGGCGCCGGGTTGGTGCAGGTCCGTGATCGCTTCTGCCAGCCCCGACCACACCTGGCATTGCAGTTGGACCACTCAGTCCATGATGACCAACCCCCGTTCACTGCAAAACACAAAGAGGCCTGAGGCCAGGGAAGGTGTGCCAAGAGACACCCACAACAAACCTGAGCGAGTGGAAATTCATCCTGCCAGAGAAGAGCTTCATTCAGAGCCACATGCATGTTAAACCCACAAAGTACTGCAGCAATACAGCACAGACCCCTCAGCTGCCACAACAATGAGCTTTGCCCTCACCATACACCACCACTGTGGCAGACATGCTCCTCCTCTTGGCCACGATGTTGGCTGCCATGCAGGTGTAGTTCCCGGAGTCGGACAGACGTGCCTGACGGATGATGAGATTGTGGTCTGCTCTGGTGTCAATGTTCTCATCCAGGTTGGAATCAATGGGCTCCTCATTCTTCAGCCATTCCACCTGGAGAGGGATGGAGCAGAGGAAAACATGAAGGAAGCCAAAGAAAGGCACCTGATGCCTTGGGCTAATGACCTTGTTAATCAGATTGGGAAACACTTCCTTTGGTGACTAGGAAATGCTGATTTTTACTCAATGAACGTGGAAGAAAATCTCAACCAAAAGAGAATAACATATAGTTTTCAATATTGCTCCTGATATATTGTGCTTTGTGTGCTCAAACACTTGGACAATGATTGGTTCGGTTCATAACAGATTGGGATGGTACATAATAACCATTATTAATTCCACTGTTTTTGAGAAGAAACCAAAAGATGAAATCACTTCACATCACACCCAGTGGAACAGCCAAGTCATCCTAACAGATTCCCAATTTACACGAACATCCTTAAAACAGAGACCATTAGTGTTTGTTGTCATGGTGTATAAACACCGTGAAATGCTGTGTGTATTTCAATACATCTCCTCTAGCTCACCAACCAACAACCTCTCTGAGCAGACCTAGGAATTACCTGCAAGGCATTTCTCTACTTGAAAGACTAAAAAACAAGAGCTGAGGCACGGTAAGCTGCTGTTATAGAAGGCAAAAATTAAAAATAGAAGCAGAATCAACGGATTCTATTAAAAGACTACAAAAATGTGAGTTCTTTTATTAGCTTTTGTAGGCCTGAAGGAGATATGGCTGCACCCTGAAGTCAAATACCCTTCTTAGCTCAGTTCAGCTGAATAATCTCGTTTAGTAACTTGTGGAAGGACTTGGAAGTTGGTGGTAATGAGCTTATGGATTTGGTAGCTACAGGCAGTCATTAGCACTCTGCTCTGCGCAGATGGTCTGCAATTTGTAGATTTTCCAGTTTATAAACAAATCTGCACAAGCTGACCAGCAAAGCCAATTAGGGTCTGTGCCAGACAGCAGGTTCCCTTCCAGTAGCATCAGTCACTTGGGTTCGCTGGGGACAGAAGATGTGTGAGGAACAGATCCATTGCCTCATGTCCTGGTACCACAGCCATGGAAACTGACCTGGGGAAGACTCCAGGTCTGTGGCACTTTATCCTACACAATGACTATGGCATTAACTAACTCCTTATTTTACACACCTGTGTATAGAAACTTTACCTGAGGATGAAGTACAACGTTCTACACTTCATACCCCAAGTAGGTAAAAGATCTCAGCTCGGTGTTCTCTTTGCAGTCTCTATGTGCTCCTGCATCCAACTCTTACCCCTGCCATTCCTTCCCAAGCCAGGGGACACCTCCCCTGTGCTCACAGGTGTGCAGGCACAGCTCAGGAGCCGTGCCCAAACAGCCACACTAACTCCAGCAAAGCCAAACCCTTCCCTGACAATACCTCTTGGAGTGTGTTACATTTTCCTTCAGTCTAAGACAAGGAACAACCAAGTCATCCATTTACTATTCAGTTTCCCTTCTGCAGTTAGCTTTAATACTAATTATCCAAGGAGGTTTCAGCGAAGGAATTAGGAATGCAATGTAAATTATGGAGCAGCCACATGAGCATAAATCCAGTGACAGAAATTCGATGGTCACACTCAGAGCTGAACCCCTTTATGTGCAGGGAAATGATCAGAGGAATGACAAACATGCTCAGCATTACCAGAGTTCATTAGTTCACAAGTGTATTTATACACTTTTTGCCTCTCCTCAGGTCAGGGCATTTTGGGGGTGCTGAGAGGAGCACAGGAGGGTTTGAGGGCCCCATTGCTGCCACACTCTCCCTTTGGGCTATTCCAGGAGGTAGCACACACTGACTCACTGTTTGCTGAGTCTGAGACTGTGAGGCTTTGGTGAAGGAAAAACATTTACATTAAAGCAAAGCACTTACAGGAATGATGATCACAGCGAAGGGAGAACATTAAACAGAGGGAACATAAACATCAAAGTGCTGCGACGTGCGATCAAACGAAGATTTGTAAGCGAGGGCACACGTCGCCTTTTGCCTCTCATCTGGAGGCTTGATGGCACTGCCAATACTCCTCTCACTCCAGCTCCCCCTCCCTTCAAGAACACCAGGCTGATTCAAAGTCATTCCCTGCCTTTCCCTCAGCAGAGAGATGCTTTCAAAGATGGAGAGCGAAAAGATGAATCCATGGGAAGAACTGATAAACTCAAAGGAGTCGTGATGACAGGAGATGTTTGTCACTGGCAGTGACGCAACCTTTGGAAAAATTCAGCCCCCAAATCCACACAAAACAATCAAGAAGAATAAAGGCAACAAAGAACCCACAGTGTCTCCATGCTGAAATGAGCCACCACGTTCTGAATTATATCCTCAGCATTTCGCTTCCCTCCCTCTGTCACCAGGGGAGGTCACACAGTTGCTTCTAACAGAATTATAGCCTTCCTTATTAATAATTAGTCTGCCTGAAAATCTTAAATGTTTCTGCCTTGAACCAGACTGAAAATCTACTGTAATATTCCGTAACTTTGTATAAAGGTAGTTGTTTTTTGCTCCAGAAATGAAACCTGCTCAGAATCAAAATAGTCCCATCAGTGTCTAATGAAGGCTAATCACGTAATGATCTCCCACGGAAAGGCAGGGGCAGACAGGGATTAACTCAGGCACCCTGTACTGGGGGGCAGCAGATGAATTAGCAGAGCCATGAATTTCTTCCAATTACAGAAAGCAATTATCAAAGACCAGCTTACAGCATTGTCAAAGTAAAATCAGTTTAACACCCCACACCCGAGGTGGATTACAGCAGGAGTTAGAGAACTCTTCTGCAAAAACAAAGCTCATTCCAACCCATCTGTACTGCTGTCTTGGCATGGGTTGCTGCAGTTCCCTTAAAGCTCTGCCTATGTTATGGCTTATGGTTGTGGATTCCATGGGAACATGTTACACTCCAAAATCTGAGCTGCTTTGGAGCCTGATGGCAATATCACGTGGCATTTTACTCCCCTTTGACCAGCATGGCATTGGTATTTGCACAGGTGGAATTCCAGGAGCAAAGCTGACCAACTCCAGAGGAGGAAATAACATGCTCCTGACTCAGCATCAATCATAGAATCATGGAATCAACCGGGGTGGAAAATACCTCCACGATCACAAAATCCAACTCT